GAGTTTTAGTTTCTCTTTGTAAGAGCCCTGGTTATCCTGGAACTCACTCTTGTAGACCAGGTGGCCTCAAACTCAGAGACTTGCCTGCCTCTGTCCCCTGTGTGCTGGGATTAAAGCCATGAGCCACCATCGTCTGGATTTTTTTTTTTTTGCCCCCCAGGGGACTCATGTGTCTCTGGCTGGCCTAGAATTCACTCACAGGATTACTAGTTATCTTTTGTAATGGTGGCCGGGGATTTTCTTCTATTTAAGCTACTATGTAATTTTATGACCTCGTTTAAGGGTCTCTTTCCTATGAGTAAAATAGAGTAGCTTTAGCTGGCTTTAGTCTCAGAATGCTTGCTTTTTAAAATTTACTTATTTTTCCTTCTGAAGACAAAGTCTCCCTGTGTAGCCCAGACACTTTCTATGCAGCCGAGGCTGAGCTCCTAAGTATAATCAGTATTCTTGCCTCAGCTCTGCAACATTGGAATTTACAGGCCTCTCTTACTGCATCCAACCCAGAAAGCATTCTTGAGACTTGGAGCATTAGTTTCTGTCAATATGATAAAAGACAAAAAGTGATTCTCGTCGGGCAGATCTGGGACACAAAGGCCCAGCCCAGCCTTCTTGGCTTGCCTAGGTTCTGTCCAGACACCGCCCTTAATTTCTGATGAGTGCTGGATCTAACTTGGATGTTGGGTGAGAGAAAGCAGAATTATGGTCCCTGTGGTCTCTTTAGTCAGTGATTTCTAATATTGAGAGTACTGTGTGACCTCCTTTCAAAGAGGGAAAAGAATTCTTAGAGAAACTTGGGCAAAGAGCACTGAATTCTTGTTTAAGAAACACAGGCTTTATATGTTTTTGGGTGATAATTGTGTGCCATTTTGATCTGTAGTGATACAGGCCATGGTAACACACATATGCTTTAGACTTTGAGGCCAGCCTGAGAACAGGATGGACACCATATGTGTTGCATTTGCAAAGGCCTGACACTAGTTTAGCATGTATAAGACTGTGTGAGAAAGTGCCCTTGGGGACTCATAAATGTGAACTCAGTAATTAACACTTGATTTCTTTTTTGAGATAGGCCTCCCTTTGTAGTCTTGGCTGTACTGGAACTGGCTATGTAGATCAAATTGGCCACAAACTCACAGAGATCCACCTGCCTGTGTCTTAAGAGTACTGGGATTAAAACATGGTAAAAGATTACTTGACAAAAATTGTATATATTTATGCATTTAAAATAACACTTTGAGATTTATATATTGTGAAATGGCTAAATCAGTCTAAATAACCTCATATAATTGTTTTTTGGTGAGACATTTAAAATTTTAGTGATTTTTTTTCAAGTATATGCTGCTACTATAGTAGCTATGACATACATTAGATTATTATATATGAGCTTTTGGT